CTGCTTGGTGCAGTTTGTTGAATACAGAGATGGACCGACCTTCTGGTGTACCCAGCATTGCTTGGTGGGTCGATGCACATTTATAGTCCGGCCAAAGGCTGTCATAATATAATTTAATGAAAAAAGTTTATGATAAATCATTTTTATTGACCAATTTGATCTATTGGTTGATTTTCATGAAGGAGATTGGACGAATCCAATGAAATCGCTCAGTCCTTCTCTGCTCAACCTTATAAATTTTGACTGGGATGTTGGTAGCCCACACGTAAACTGGTACAGAGTCGGAGAACACTGGGATAAAACAGGAATGATGATGGAATGTTTTGGGATGTGTGGAGAATTAAAACAGAACACGTGAAAGCAGACAGAAGACAGAATGCAATTTAAAAATTATAAATAACATTTATAGGAAGTCATCTTTTTTGGTGTCCAAGCAGACGTTTACACATGAAGAACATATTCCTTTGTAGATCTGCTCCTGCCTCAGGCAAAACTTTAGACTAATCACTTCAGACTTGTCAGGTGCCAGATAGACAACAATCTTATGGTCCTTATAGTGGAGAAATTTCCAGGGCATCCACAGCAAAGAAAGATGTAGATAGAGACAGTTGATATCTACTTATTTAAATATTCTACATAAAGTGAAACAAAGAGTTTGTCTCTGACTTGTGCTTTTCATATTTGTGAAGACAGGTGATGCATAGAGCAACATTGAAACTGCAGGAGCACTGAAACTGTCATAGAAGAGCAGCAGGAAATAAGCAGACAAGTTAAATGAAGCTGAGCAGATCAGCATGAATTGGAAACAAAATTACATAAACACTTCCTCATTAAGCTTAAATGATTTGTAAACTTGCCCCTTTTGGGTTTGATGAGAAACACAATTATTTTAAGGTAATGTTAAGCTCATTTAAGCTGCTAAGAAAAAACTGAAAACAATTAGCTGTTTTTGCCGCCATTGTGTTTACATCGTCTCTGCCGTTACTCTCCTTTCCTTTCCAAAGCTGTGGAGTGTGGCATTGGTCTGTCAACAGTTTGTTTGCTGCTGACAGACAACAGCACATTATTGTGTCTGAGAGTTACAGACCACCTCTATCGGGAAAGTCATGCTCTGTTTCTCATTTGTGTATTATTCTCTGAATAAAACAGTTTCACTTGCACATTGGAAATATTTCAATTGCTGGCACTGCTAGGCACAGCCTCCACCTACACCTAGACAGTAACAGATATTATTAAGTCATGAAGCATCTGCCGTCTGGTGTGTCTGGTGCCAAACTTTGACTGGAGATCAAACATTAGAAAATGTTCAATATCAGTAACTTACTGATGAACCAAATAAATGGAAGACAAACTTGAATTCCAAGTAGATCTCTGGTTGCTCAACATTTGGAAGTGTGGCCAACACGGACTGAATGTCTTTGTTCACTTCCTCATTGCCAAGCTGCAACCATAGGCAGCCTACAATTCATAAACACTGCAGAAACTCGACGTCATTCACAATTTCTCCTTCTGTTCACTGATTGGCCAAGATGAAGTTCTGTCACAGAAATCGAGCTCAATGTGAGAAATTCCAGGCAGAGCACTAAAGGGAGATGAGAATCAAGTGGAATTGTGAAGGAAACCAATACACAGGCTAATAAATGAGTATTCATGCAAATTTAAGACTACATTAAATTACTGGGATTTTTTTAAATAAATGCTTTAATAATAAAGATTCTTTAATAAAAAAAATAGCAATAACAATAAGTTTTTCACTGAGTTCAAAAACAACATAAAAATATTCTCCAATAAATTTTATGGCTGGCAGGTTCCTGACTCTTTCTCCTCTGTCTGCCCTCTGTCATCTTCACTGGAATTGTGTGAATGTAAGCCAATTGTCTCTTCTCTCAGACACGATAAAAAACTGGACAAAAGTGAGGAGTCCTACAGTATGTCTCACAGGTTCTCGGTTTTTATAGGAAAGGATTCCATTTATCTGAAGCTTGAGCTGGACATGAATCATGTCTAAATTTATTTCTTGCTTTGATTCTGACTCAATTTATATTTTTCTGAGTCAAAAATGTGGAAGTTCACCACAAAGGGATTAAAAAGGGGTCATGCAGGTCATTGTTTCTGCAGTGTGAATAAGGGCTGAAAATGGCCATGTGAAAAAAATATACATGAATGTTTACCCTTTTCACTTTTTGTCATATTACAATTCCAAACCTCAATTAATTTTACTAACATCTCATGTTCCACCTCACAGGTATGCATCATCCATAATCATGGATAGAATACAAAACTATGAAAACTTGAACCTACACTGACAGACAGGACAAAGAAAGCATTAAAACAGCCCAGGGTAACACCAGAGGAGCTGCAGAAATTCAAAGGTTCAAGCTGGAGAGTGTGCTGACAAGAGGACCATTAGATGTGCACTCAACACATCTGGATTTATTGGATAGAAAGTCACTGTTACAAAGCACTTAAAAGAAAAAAGTTTAAAGTTTCCCACAGGCCAAGCTGAGAATACGCAGAGGTTCTGATCAATTGGAACCAAAATAAAATAAGTAAATAAATAAATAAAAGACAACAAAACACCACACCAGTCAAAAAATAGAACCCAAATGTGGTGATTTCAGCATCATGCAGTGGATCTGCTTTTCTTCAGCAAGTACAAATAAGCTGGTTAGTTGATGAGAAGATGGATGGAGGTGAATACAAATACACAACATACTTTTCAAATTTGCATTTGTTTCAGATGAGAGGGTATTATGCAATATCAACTTTTTTGAATTTTTGATTTAAGCTTTTCAATATGCAATTAATTAATTACATGGTAAGTTAAAAAGAGCCTAATTTACATTCTGATTAATGTTTTTTGAAAGGAAATTTTGTTTACGGAAACTCGATCCACTTTTATGGTTTCACTTGTGTGTATTTTTCTTAATTTCTATTCCATTTATTGTTTTTAGTTGATATTAAATTATCTTCCACTTCCAAAATTAAAATGTATTCGTCTTCGAGGGAGCAAAAATGCATTATCATGCCTCTTCTATTATATTACTTAAAAAAAAAAAAAAGGTCTCAAAACAACAATATTAACGTTTATCACAATAATTACAGGGACAATTTCTCGTCTTGCAAATTACGCATACGGGCGCCAAAGCGATGGTGGAACAATTCTTTCTAGTCAGCACTTTAACAGCTCTCTGAATGTGTAAATGATATAATCAATAACAGACGCACAGCACCGGTTAGGCTCCTCTCCGCTCTCCCACACACACACACACACACACACACACACACACACACACACACTAAAGGTTGAGCTACAGTGGCGCCTTCACAGGTTTGAGTTGAGAGCGCGGGAGCCGAGCAAACTGTGCGGCTTTTCTCCTTGACACACACGTTGGCGCTACAGTGTGGGGCGCGAAACTTTTCATTTGAATCGTGTTGTCATCTGATGACAGGGAGGGAAAGATGGAGAGACAGGAAAGAAAGGCGGAAGATGGAGAGAGATGAAAATGTAGTAGGGATGAAAAAACGTCTCAAAGTGGTTGAAGAGGAGGTTTGTAAATATTCAGCTTACTTTAAGTTAATGAGAGCTCACTGTTGTCTAGAACTGTGTACTGCATTCATAATAGATTATAACACAAAAAAGAAGCTTGTTTATTTTTTTTGTTATTCAGAGAGTAATAATTTAACATTTAACTAAATAGTGAAACAGAAATTATAGAACTTGGTAGTGATAAACTTGAGTGTATCTGATAAGTCTGATCAGATCCAACGTCCAGTCGGTGACTGCTATTCAACAATATTTAAAATCAAACTTCCATGTTTTACATGCGGTTTTCTGATGTATTTTACTAATTGTGAGGATGGAGAAAAAGAATAGAAGGGAGGCTGAGAAAGAATCAGGACAGACAGGGGAAGGCAACAGGTTGGTCTAATATTAGGCAGAAGTTGGAACAGTCACTTAAAAGTATGTTAGCAAGATCTGTAATTTGCTTAAAGTGATTAAATCATGCTTGTTTGACCATAGAAAAGAACACATCCAGTTAGCGGGGATCTCTATTGAAAACTGTTTTGCATTGCGATCCGTTTCACTCTTGACAAAAGGGCGAGTGCAACAGGACAACATGCAACAATTTTAGTGCTACCATTCTTCCAGGGAGTCCAGGTTGTTGTTCAGGGGTCAATAATGCCACATTTTCACAACAGAAAATGTGTCGAGCACTGGGTGCTGCTGGTGCATTTGTTATATTACACAATTTTGTGTCGTTTTTAATGGAACTGGTCACCCATATGCAACATGAAATAAAAGTTGTTTTTTTTTTAATAAATCCAAGAATAAGTCAGATTTACACACCTGCACAGCTTCTCCTCCTGAGGATGAGAATGAGTCAGGTAGAGAGAGACGCTGCAGGAAATGTGAATGGGCCCGGGTGATGGGAATGAATACAGCATGAGTTTTACATAAAATCACTTTACATACAACAAGCTCTGGGAGTGTGTCCAGAAACAGTTTCTGAACATTTGATCTGGCCCAAAACCAAATAAAGAAATTTGCCCATAACATATTCACATTATTGGATTTTTTTTAATCTTCTTCCATTTGCGTACAACTATTGCACACAAAGCTAAACTCATCCTAGTCTTATTTCTTTGCAAGGACTGGACAATGAGAGCCAATTTCTCCTTCTCACCTGCTGTCTCTGCAGGGGAGCAGGACAATGCACTAACGAAATTAGATTCCTGTCCCACTGAAATCACTCACGGTAGTGTGTGGAGAGTTCACAACAGGTTTACTGGAAATTCAGACAAACATTTACAACGAAAGTGTAACTTAACTGTTACCTATTAATAAAACTGTTGCCTTGATTTGTAAACTGCTATAAATACAGAGTAAAAAAAATACAAAAGGAAGTTACAGCGGTGCCTTTTAAAAACAGCATTAAAGCGAAGAAAAAACAATGTTATACGAAAACATGACATGCAGATATAGTCTTTTAAAGTACCTTTAATCTGAGTCTGGGTCAGGTGGATGAGCAAAAAGATTACAGGTATGTCCATCCTGCACCTCCGAAGTTTCTCTTCTGAAACGCCCAGGTCCGATTCAAAGGATATATTCTCCTCCTTAAGAAGAACAAATAAATAAATAAAACACAACCACAATAAAGGGCGAATCAGAAAGTCCCGTTCCGTCCCAATAAGAAAAACAACAATATTCTGCTGCGTCTCAACGAAGCCAACATTTAGCGCTCAGTAACTTGAGGAATAAATTGAATCCGAGCAGAGACGAAGCGAATCTGTGCTTAAAGACAGCAACATCCTGTCATCCGTAAAAAAAAAAAAAAAAACAAAGAGCTCAGAGCAGACTCGCGTTCTCTCGTCCTCTCTCTCTCTTTCTCCCACACACGCAGTCTGTATCTCACTGCACAAAGCACCAGGTTTGACCTAATCTATTTCGTTTAAACACAGAGCTCGTGTTTTTTCAAACAAATTGCGCCCTGTTGTGACATTTACGGCATCAGTCCGGCGCTGCGTGCTCCTCTGGCTGCCCATGTATGGCACACCTGACTTAATTAAGTTGGCAGCTGCAGGGACAAATAAACTGACTTCATTAAGTGCTGGTTTCAGAGTTACTGCAATAGACAGACCTGTACCAGGTGTGCAGTGGTTAGAGCACAGCAATCCTAACAAAAATATATTGAAGATTGTGGTTGTGTCATTACAAAATGTAAGAATACAAGTGGTGAATTGACTTTTGTCAAGAAATGTGTTTTTTTGTTGTTGTTGTTTTTAAGAATTTGGTTCAGGTTTTCACATTGTTTCAGTTTTTCAAAACTCGCTTAATCATGAAACAATAAAAGAGAGGAATTAAATGCAGAGATAATTGATATATATTACTGTACTGGACATGATGGAACTATTGTGTGACGCACTAAGAATCTGAAAAAGGGAAACAATGTTTTGCTGTTAATTGTCAACGCAACGACAACTACATGACAAGGTCCAAAGGTATCGCTTTTAACTGGTCAGCAAAAAATATGCAGGAGGAAAGCAAGTGAATTAAAAAGGGAAAAATAAAAATAGCTGTCCAGGGACCATCCAAAGCAAAAATCACAAAGGGACCATGAGGAATCCAGCGAGTGGGAACAACAGGTACAGAGACTGAGAAAAACAAGAAGTGTTTATGCTGCGGAGCTTTCTTACAGGAATCCAAGACAAGTGAGTAAATGAGCAGACAAGAGACACCTGGGGATGCTGGGAGCCGAGAGGCTGAGGGAACTGAGTAAATCAGGGAACACGGAAACTAGTAAACATAAACACAACGCTGACCCAGGAATACACAGAAACTCTTAAATACTAGAGATTAGGACATGATTAACAAAAGACACAAGGGAACAGAAAAAACATACAGAATGCTAAAGTCTGGAACCAACATCATGAGGAATGTTTCAGAAAGGAATGAGCTGCATATGAAAAACCAAGAGTAACAAATCTAAAAATAAAGCAAAGAAAAACCCAAATATCACAACTCTCATTTGCATATAGTGAACAAAATATACAAATAAGTGGTTTTCCATGGTACAAACAAGCTGGGGAATCTATGTTTGGTACAAAAATAATCCAGTATTTTTAAAATAGGAATCACATGAAATGAGTACCTGGTTTTATAAAACCCCACAATAAGCCCTCAGAAGCCTATCTTTTAGCACTAGCTAGGAATCCGCCATTAAAATGTATGATTTTTTTATTTATGCAAGTATGATCGTGCTGACCCGTTGGTGGAACGATGCCCTCGATGCTAAACCATTATGTTACCACTGAGTTTGTAATTAGGACAAACATAATTAAATAGCCAGGTCAGAATTAAGAATATAAACACCATCTGATTTAATAACTTCATTCTGTGCCAGTCTGAACCATTACAAAGCTGTGTCCCCGTCTGAGGACACTAAATTTACTGAAGAACAAAAATGTACTGTTCAGAATGACAGTGACTGTAAAGAAGGAAATTGATCAAAATCCCTAAATCTTGGAATCTGTGGTTTGATCTCGGGATGTTTTGTTGTTTGTTTTATACTAACAGAACCATTTCAGCTGAAAGAAGCTGGCTCTGTTCTGCTTCAAGGAAAAACACAGTCCCGCTGGCGAGATGCGTCAGACTTACTGAGAGGTACACAAACCAAGAGACTTGCAGCTGTGATTGCAGTGCTGCTAATTGTCATGTTTCATGTTTGATCTTAATAAAAAAGGTCCAACTGACTTAATGGACAGTAATGTTTTTTTTTTCCTTTGATTTCAGGAAGACATTTAATAATGTGCATCCCTGAAATGTTGAACTTTGCAAGCTTCTAGTCTTTAAAAAAGACATTCACTTCACTTCGTAAAGCTCATTTGGTCAGACTCAGCAGGACTGCATTTTGTACAAAGATTATCCTTTTTCCCCCTTTTTAAAATTACACTCAGAATTTTTCATGGTTTGGAAAACTTTGCATAACTCTGATGTGAAACTGGGGAGCACTTAATTCTTTTTCCTTTACTTCTTTATGTAGCATTATGTATTAGTCAGAGTTTCAGTCCTCAGGTACGACTGCCCTGCATGTTTTAGGGGTTTCTGTTCTGCCACACACCTGACCTGCATAAATAGGTGAACAACAGGGTTTTGCAGCATTGTGGCATGCAAAGGAG